GGGGGCTCTTCATTGGTCGTGGTGGTGGAAGGTCTGTTGCACTGAGGTAAGTGGGAATCTTCTTCCCTTCTGCCCACCCTGCCAACCAAGGTGAGTGGCACACGCGTGGGCGCTCTCCCTTCATGGCTTCCCCAACTCCACTTTGGAATCAGGTTTCTTTATCCATTTTTCACATGAAATGTTCACAAGAAACCTAAGCATAATCGTTAAGAACAAGTGAGTTAAATAAATAAAGTGAAGTAAAGTTTATAAATGACGTTTTCAACAACTATTATGTTTTTTAAAATGTCTGCTTTAAAATAGTTTCAAATTAAAAATAGACCTGCCATATGATAAATTCTGGGTATTTATCAGAAGACAATAAAAACACTAATTCAAAAGAAACCTATGCACCCCTATGTTCATTAAAGCATTACTTATAATAGCCAAAATATGGAAGCAATCTAGATGTTTACCCATAGACAACTGGATAAAGAAGATGTAGTCCATATATACAATAGAACATTACTCAGCCATAAAAAAGAATGATTCCCTACAGTAAGCAGTTAGCCATTAACACAAATGATAAAGGAATTTTTTCACCTTTAGGAAAAATTCAACTTTGCCAATTCATAGCAACAGATAGGAAAAACCCTTCAAAAATCTGCAAATTTGTGTATCTATGGGTCTGTTTCTGTTTTGTTTGTTCATTTGTTTTTGGTTTTTTCCTTCAGATTCCACATGTAAGTGAAATTATATGGTTTTGTCTTTGTCTGACTTATTTCACTTAGCAAAATACCTTCTAGGTCCATCCATGTTGTCGCAAATGGCAAGATTTCATTCTTATGAATATGAATTATATTTCAGTCAAACTATTACCTCCCAAAATAACTAGTTTTTTAAAAAGGCCACCCCATAATCTTTGTCTTTTCTCCTGGAAAGAATCTACACGTTCACATGTAATTTTACAATGTCTAGACTCTAATAAAATTGAAAGTAGCTCATTCAGACACAGGAGCATTTTCTACTTGCACGATGCTATACGCCCAGCCCGGATCAGGGCTCTCAGCCGGAGAGGGTAGGTTTCTTGTGGGTACTTCTTAAAATCCGTGGGGGTTTCCCACTTTCACACAGGCGTGCAACTAGCTATCAGTGTTGGGTTCTCCTAGCAGGCTCTAGATGGACAGCAGGTCCTGATGTCATAAAGGGCAGGCCACTTGTCCTTCAGGATGTCCAGGCAGATGTGACCCTGGGTGTCTACATTGGGGAGGTAGCAGGGCGTGAGGAATGTCACCGTGGGTGCGTTGTAAAGGTAGCCAGCCACTGGGGAAGTCCAGGGAGAGCTTATACCTCGGGTCTTCATATACTGTGCCAGCTGCCCCTTAGATGGTCCCCACTCATTTGAAAAGGTTGTCTAATGCAGGGAAGGCAGAAATGCCTTTATCACCAGACATCGTGAGGGTCATCAGCTCCTGCTGTAACCTCTTTCCCCCGACCCCACCCCACCCCTGCCTGCTGGACACGACTTCTTTAGGAGCTGAGGCCACGCTGGTGGTGGCTCGGTCACAGTTCTGAGAGGCCAGCCGGGCAGGGACACAGGAACCTGGAGGACACAGACGATAACTAACTCGAAAATTTTAATTTTTGAAAAGTTGTTGTTAATGAGAATGAAGCTTCTACTTGGGAAGGCCAGCCTCACTCCTCAGCATTCACAGCACTGATTGTGCAGGTCCCTCCTGGGTGAGGAAGGACCAGCCCACCTCTACTCTCCAGCAAGTCGGAAGAACATGTGAGCATCCCTCAAAAGACCAGGAGGAGTATCAGCAAATCCTCAATACCAAGCCAGCAGAACGACAGGAAATCTTTTGTGAAATTCACAC